ATACCAAATAATATAGTTGAAACAAAACAACATTACAATAAAACAACTCTAACACACTAACACTAACACTACTCGCCCTTTTTACATCAAAAAAGGAGGACAAAGAATAAAAAATAAATAACACATAAACTAATAGTAAAAAGAACTAAAAATAATGAAAAACAAAAGTTTTTTTTTTATCAAAGCAAGAATATGATAAATTTTTCATAAAATTGAATTAAAATTTTGTACGGAACGAGTTTACATCTGAAATCTAAATAATGGTAGAAAAACAGATCTTGTTAACTCATGCTCAAACTTCTTACAGAGCAAACCATCTTTTGAAAATAAAGATCTAACTCAGAAAACCCAATCAGATAAGAAAAAGTGATCAGTTTAAAACTTCCTTTTAGAAAAATATATTATAGAATAATATAGCAAAGTAGTTAATCACAATCATGAATTTCAAAATCAAGTCTTTGAAAATATCAAATGACACATGAATTCTTATAAGATTTAAAGGTTTGAAAGAGAAGGAATCTTGCTTTCTTGTGGGCTCATTTTGGAAAATAATCATTGGTTTTTCTCCCTTTAAATGATTTTGGGATGTCAATCATTGATTAGAAATTTTCAAAGAATAAAGGCATAAATTATCATTTCAGTAGTGATCAAAAGAAAAAAATGAAAAAAATAAAGACGTAAGAAATGAAAATATGAAAAATAATAGCAAATAAATAAAAATCAACAATCTAAGCAAACACATAATAAATGATAGAAACAAAAGAAAGATAAAAAAATAACAATAAAGGAAAGATTATAAAACAAAAATAGAAGGAAATATAGAAAAAATAGAGTTCAGAGTTCAATAATCATCAAGTTCATGCATTTATGCTAATGACACCCAATTTGATCCTTAAGATGCTGAATGTTTCAAAGGCCAGTTGTTTAGTAAAGATGTCAGCCAATTAATTTTTTGATACATGGTATAACTCAATATCTCCTTTGGTAATATAAACCCTATTAATGATGCCTTATGTCAATGTGTTTAGTTCTAGAGTGTTTGATAAGATTTGTAGAGATGTAGATGGCCCTAGTGTTTCATATAGAATTGAAATTATGCTAACAGATAATCCTAAGTCAAAAATTTATTGCTTCAACTAAAGGATTTGGGCCACACAACTTCCTAAGGCATTTTACTCAGCTTCACTAGTGGAAAGTGCAATATAGTTTTATTTTTTACTAGACTAGGAGACTAAGGACTATTCTATGAATTGACAAGTACTAGAACTGCTCTTTCTATTTTCCTATATATTGAAAAATTAGAATTAGAATATCCAATAATTTCAAAAGATGTATTGTGCATAGGATATTATATTCTTAAGTTTTGGGACCCTAAGATATATCTAAGGATTCTCTTAACTGTAGTCAGGTGGTATTCTTTAGGATCAGCTTGAAACCTAGAACAAAGACAAACACTAAACATTATATCATGTCATTTAGCAGTCAAGTAAAGTAGTGATCCAATCATTCCTCAACATTTATTTTGATTAACATATTTTTCATTTAAATCCTTATCTAATTGGACACTTGAGCTCATGGGAGTGTTTATTGGCTTGGCTTTATCCATTTCATATTTCTTCAAGATTTCTTTACTGTACTTTATTAATTAAGAAAAGTTCCAACATTCAGTTATCTTATGCTAAACCTCAAAAAGTAGGATAACTCTCTTATCATACTTATCTCAAATTACTTACTCATTATTTTAGAAAAAATCAGCATATAACTTTTTTTAGAAGATTCAAAAAGTATATCATCAATATAGATCTGAACAATGAGTAACTCATCTCTTAATTTTTTTTTAAAAAGGGTGGTGTCTACGATCCCCTAAACAAACTCCCTCTCTAGTAGGAATGTGCAAAGCCTCTCATACGAAGCCTTGAGTGCATGCTTTAATCTATATAAGGCCTTTTTTAATTTATAAACATGATTTTGAAATTGGAAACTCTCTAAACTTGGGGGTTGCTCTATGAACACATCTTTTTTTTATTACTTTATTTAAAAAGGCACTCTTGACATCCATTTGGAAAAGCTTAAATCTCTTATGATAGGCAAAGGCTAGTAGCACTCTAATAGCTTCCATTCTAGCTACATGAGAAAAGGTCTCCTCAAAATTAATCCCTTATATTTGGTTGTACCCTTAGCCACCAATCTTTTCTTATTCCTAACCACCACACTAGAATCATTCATTTTATTCTTAAAGACCCATTTGGTTCCTATTACACTTTAATTCTTAAATCTTTCTACTAACCCCCAAATATCATTCCACATAAATTGGTTAAGTTCTTCTTGCATATGTTAAATCCAAAATTTAGCAGAAAGGGCTTGATTTCTATTGGTGGGTTCAGTCATTGAGATAAAGGTAGAGTGGTTTACTTTTTTTTTTTGAAGAAAGCCGTACCTTATGAATTACTAAGAAAAGGAAAAAGCAACTACAGACTATTTTCCTCCTTCAACATATTGAAAAAGGAAGGAGGAACCTCATTCTCAGAACAATCCATCCAATCAAAGCTACAAAATAATGCTTAATTAGCACACAAATTTGCTAACTTATTGCAATCTCTACTAATGCAATTAAAAATAACGAAATTAAAGTTTGAAATAAATTTTGTACCTTCATCCTTGAAGTTCCCTAATTAGCAATCCTTTTTGAAGTAAGAGATGATGTTTGAATTGTCTCCTTCTATGATGATGCCCTTGTATTTGAACATCCAATCCTTTATCACATCCTTTAGAGAGTGAAAAGCAAGCAATTCTAGTTGAGCTATATCCCAATGAAAAAGAGATTTGCCATAAGCAAAAAGGAACCTTCCATTACTATCTCGAAATACAGTAGCAATTCTAGCTTTATAGGAAGAGATTAGTGAAGCATCAACCTTTAGCCAATTGGGTGGAGGAGGATACCAAGCTTTAGACAGTCATAAGGACTGATTAACATCCCAAAAGCCCAAGTTGTATTGATTAAAGTTCTTAGAAACAAAAGTTTGACAGATAGCATTAGAAGCTAAGAAACTGGAATTGTCTTCTACACCATCATGGATCAATTTGTTTCTACTTTTCCAAGATAGAAACACTGTATTGCAATACAGATTTACCAACATTCCTTTCTTCATGATATTGGATTCAATTTAATTAATACAATGCACACTACTATCAAATGTAGGAATATTGAATCCCTAATTATTTAAGTGCTAGATTATCTCCCTTTGTTTCCTGTAGGTACAAATTATATGTTCCACATCTTCAATTGCTTTACATCCCCTAGGACAATTAGAATTCTGGATTAGTCTTCTATAGCATAGGAATTGGAGTGAGGGAATAGCATTTCTATTCAGTCTCCACCAGAATACCTCAACTCGAGCATTAAATATTTCTTTTATGTTCCAATTCCAGTTAAGATCGTTCACCATCTCATGAGCAACAGATTTGCTGATTAAGCCCGGAATTGTCTTCCCAGAAATTTGATTGATCAGCTCCATGGAATCTTCATTACTCTCCTGAGTAATATTAATTTGAGTGATCAGATTAATAAGGTCCCTACCGAAGTATTTACTCAGCTCTTGTTCATTCCATTGTGCTTCCTGAATGAACTCTTTTACATGAATCGGATTGCCTTCAAACGGGATGACAAATGTAGGCCATCTATTAATGCATTTGTCCAGAATCCATGTATCTTCAAAAGCATTCACCGATTCTCCATTAGCTATCCTCCATCTTACAATTGGTTTGAGTTTTTTATAACCTTCTCTCAGTAATTTAAAGGCTATAGAGAAACAGCCTCTACTATTGCCTTTCTCTAGATTTGCACCGTATTTTGAAGCCATAACCATGTGTAATAATTATTTCTTATCATTTATAAATCTCTAAGATAATCTAGCTCTTAAAGCAGGAGTCTTAGTAGTGTTTGAGTGTAATCCACATACCCCATATTCCGTTGGTTTACACATATCGTTCCAGCTTACATAATGCTTCCCCATTGAGTCATTATTTTTATTCCAAATGAAGTTTCTACATAGCCTATCAAGATCTTCCAGCACCTTTTTGGGCACTAAAGAAAGAGTTGCATGAAAGGTAGGGAGAGCTAGCAATACTGACTTTACAAACATAATTTTTCCGGGCAATGATAAGCATTTGCTACCCCATTGATTAAGCTTTCTCAAATCATTATCAATGATGAATTGAAAATCATCTCTCCTGAGTCTTCTCATTGCCATCTTTAAACAGAAATAATTGAATTCTTTGACATGTTTAAAGCCCATAATACTTGATACACTTCTCTTCCTTCTTCTCTTCACATGTTTCCTAAACATACACATGGATTTATTATAGTTAATTCTCTACCCTGTCCATTCACAGAAATTGTGAAGGATTTTCTTCAATCCCAAAACCTCTTGCGTATTAGCTTTGGAAAACATAATCACATCATCAGTGTATAATAAATGGGAAATTATTGGACCTTCAGAATTTACCTTGATAGCACAAGAGCTTTGATGAAAGGCATTTGAGAGAAGTTGTGAGCTTAATATAAAAAGGATGGGAGATAATGGACATCCTTGCCAATTGCCATTGATTATTATAGAGAACTTGGGATCTTCTACACACTCCATGATTAGCTTAGACATTTTGAGAGGAAAGTTAAAGTATTCCAACACTTTCTTTAGAGAAGACAAGGCCATAGAATCATATTCTTGCTCCATATCTACTTTGAAGGAAATAAGACCTTTAGAAGCTTTTGAGAGACGTAGCTTGTGAAAAACTTCTTGTGCCACCAATATATGATGAGATAAGGATCTCCCCTTAATGAATGTCGCTTGCTCCCTTGAAATGAGTTTAGGAATGACCAAATTTAGTCTATTCAAAATTATCCTTGCCGCCACCTTATAAACAGTGTTGCATAGACTTGTAGGTCTATAGTTGGATGGAAGAATGGGATTAGAAACCTTGGGGATAAGAACAATGAGCATTTATTTCCATTCATTATCAAGCTTTCCATGGATAAAAAAGTAGCTAATAGCCTTCCAAAAATCTTCTTTAATAATTTCACAATAAACTTTAATAAAGGTATGAGAGATTCCATTATTACCCGGTGAAGTGTTTCCTCCCAGCTGCTGAACCACTTCTTCAACTTCAGCCATAGATAATTTAGCATCCAGTAAATTCTTGTCCCAAGAATTCATGCTATTGGTGTTTGTTGGCCACCCTTCCAGGTTGCTCCTTCTAGCTTCCCACTTCTTTTGAAAAAACCGAAGAAACACTTCCTCCATCTGACATTGTTCTTCCACCAACCACCCATCTTCATCTTTGATTTTAATTATCTTATTGGAGTTCCTTCTAGAGCTATCATAAGAATGGAAGAACTTAGAATTTCCATCCCCTTCATTTAACCATTTCACTTTGGCCCTTTGCTTCCACCACATATTGAGTCTAGCCATGTTAGTATTAAGTTCCATCACTTTAGCTTTGAGATTCAAGCAATCTTGCTCCGATAGCCTCCCTAAGGAAGACTCTTTACATTGAAGATCCATGATCTCATTCATGAGATCATCTTTTAGCTTATTAAGCTCCTTGTCTTTCGTCTTGCTCCAATAGAATAATGATTTTAGGGACCTTTTAAATTTTTTGTTGAGAATTTGCGAGAAGCTACCTTGATAATTCCCGCACCATTCCTTCTTTACCACCCCAAATTAAGCTTGATAAGATGCCCAACAATTCTCATATTTGATGATCCTTTTAGGATTTATGTTATAGCTTTTGAGTTGTAATAAGATTGGACAATGGTCCGAGGCTATTCTAGCCAAATACCTTTCTACCAATTGATACGTAGAGCTTAATGCCTTAGTGTTAACAAAACACCTATCCAATCTTTCAAGGATCCTAGCACCTCCCACTTTATTGTTGCACCATGTAAATTTCAGACCAATACACCCAACTTCATGCAAATCATTATTGAGCAAGCATTCCACCATCTCCTTTGATCCTTGAGAATAGATGATCTTCTTCCTCCCATTTTGTCTTCTTTGCTCATTAAATAAATAAAGTCACCACCAATTGCCATTGGTAGATCACTATTGGAATACTTATCTAACATATTCCACAATTCCCTTCTTTTATGCACTTCAGTACTTCCATATATCGTGGTTGCCTTACACTTTTCTTTATTGACCACTTTTAGTTCCCCTATCACCATATGTGAAGAGAATTCTTCCACCATAAACATTGTAGTATTAGAATTCCAAAGAAGAATAACGCCTCCAGAAAGTCCTGAGGACGGAACATAGAAGAAGTCCCAATTGCTCCCAATCATACCATCAATTGCACTCTATCAATTTCTGTTAATTTAGTTTCAACTAAACCAACAAAACAAACTCCTTAATATATATGGAAGCATTCCTCTTTCTCGCTCCCCTACAATTACAAAACGTAATAAAATACATTAAAAAGGATTGTGGGGATTGCTCCCCAAAGTATCTTTCCCTTCAAGCTCCAATCTCCGGCTTCTAGTTGATGAATTGATTGACCCCAATTCCTTTAGATGTTTAGGTCTCTTCTTCTTAGTAGGAAGTGCAGAATCCACATTCCCATTGATATCAGCAGCAATTTTTTCTGTTAAAATTGAAACAGCTCCTTCCTTATCAGCTTTGGTTGCTTCCATCTCTATATCTTTATTGACTTCATCTACATCATTTCCTTCATTCAGAATGATGTTTGTATGTGTTTCAAACAATTCTCCTTCTTCCAAGTCTGCAAGAACATGAAAGCTATTATTATCATCCATGATAATAGATTTCTCTTTTGAGGTTCCTCCTTGTGCCTTAGTATCTGTACCATCATAAATTTTTTGTTCCACAAATCTCTGTTCTTCTACAACTTTATCTTCTGATACTTTTTTTCCAATGGCAACATAATGTTTTGATAGAGTTACTCTACTACTTCTATCAATCTGAGCAGATGGTCTTTTGTTCCAATTTTTATAAAAATATTTCTTCCCATAACACAACAACATCCAAAGACCATATTCTTCATTATCAACCAATGTTTCCCCTACTATAGCATTCTTCTCCACCAGATTTTTTGATTGATCCTTGTCTGTTTGATTTTCTATCTCCTTATTCACAATGAAGCTGTTGGGACAGACATTTTTGTTATGGCCAATTTTCCCACAATCAAAGCATAAATTGGGAAGCCTCTCGTACTCAATCTTCAGGAAAAATCTATCTTCTTCTCCCTCTACCCACACTCCTGTAGGTAGTTCAGAATCTAGATAAATTCGGACACATACACATCCAAATTCTCTTCTTGACCATTGGAACATATTACCATCAATAAGGTAAGGCTTCCCCACCATGGAATCTATTCGACAGATATTTACTTCATCCCAATAGAATAAAGGTAAATTTGGCAATCTAATCCAAATAGGAGTAGAGAGCCCTTTAAGAGAATTTGGATTGAACGTTTGAGTCCATCTATCCATCCCAATAATATTTCCATTGACGAACTAGGTGCCATTGGTAAGAACTTCTTCCATATGATCTTCTTCAAAGAAGGAAAAAATCCACCCATTCCCCAGGACAGTGAGGTGGAATTTACCATATTGTTTCCATTGTTTTCTCAATTCATAGCTAATTGAAGAGAACAACACTTCTCCTCCAAAAATCTTAACTACCAGAGACTTGTTTAGCTTTCTGGAATTCTCATAAACATTATCTGCATGAAGTTTAACAATTTTTCCATCATCAGCTACACAGTTGCCCAAATCTAGTTCAGTAACTTTAATATTTTTGCTTTAGACCACACATTCTGAAGGGATCCTGAATTTGGCCTTTTGAGCATTTCTTCAATCACCTCATCAAAGCTCCTAAGCTCTCCAGTAATGCATACACAGACTTTTTCCATATCAAATTTCTTCTTACTTTCTTCTTCTGTGTTGCTCTCCTTCACCTCAAAATGCATTGGTTCATTGACTTCAGTAGAATTCCTTAACAGAGAATCCACATTCACATCATCTTCTTAACTCATAACAACAGCCATACGATTATTTTCCGATATGGGCATTTACCTTCTCATTCAGGATCTTTCTTGGCCACCAAGTATTTTCCATAGAATCTTCTATCAATTTGCCTTTCCCCTTACCAGGCACTTCGAGCAATTGTTTCTTCATCATTTGACCTCCTTTATTGATGATGAGAGGTTTATTAGTTATAGCAGTCAAACTAGGAAACACCATTGATCTGTCATCTGCAAATGCCAGTGTAGATGATGAAACATTTCGAGCTCCTCCCATGATTGCACATCCCGAAGAATGTCGATCCTTCAATGGCCCGCCGGCCGTAGGTGGCTGATAACCGTTCATCGCTATTGATCCGACGACGAAGCCGTGAATTTAGATTTTCAAAAAACAAAATTTTGAAATCTCAGAGTCTCTCTCTCTCTACTTTTCTAAAGTGGTTACTTCCTTTCTAAGTTTATGCCTAGTTCCAACACTTTTAGAAGGGTCTCCTAAGATCAATTCTTTAGGATCACTCGAAGTATATCTCCAATTTCCAGGCAAAGTGTTTTGAGGTTCTTCCCTTTCCTCCAAATTTATAGTTTCTACTCCTTGGATAATCTCACCTATTCCATCAGTGTTTTGAGGCTCTAACCTTTTCTCCAAATTTGTAGTTTCTACACCTTGGGTAATCTCTCCTCCTTCATCTTCTACCTGAACTCTAGACTTCTTAGGATCAAATTCATTAAAAACTACATGATTAGTCTCCTCTACCACCAATATACTCTTGTTAAACACTCTAAAGGATTTTCCTAAACTTAAATATCCTAAGAACACTCCATCAGATTTTGGATCAAATTTTCTACCAGTGATTTCCCATTATTAAGAATGTAAAACATATAGCCAAAGAAATGGATGTGAGAAAGGTTGGGTGTCCTATCCTTAATGATATCATAGGATATATTATTCAATTTGGATCTAACATTCACCCTATTAAACATATAATAAGCTATGTTTATCGCTTCGAACCAAAAGTATTTTGGATGTGAATACTCAGCAAACACGGCTCTAGTGGCTTCAACTAAGGCCGTATTCTTCCTTTTAGCTACCCCATTTTGCTGAGGGGTCATAGGAGTTCAAAAGATGTGACTAATCCCTTGATCCTCATAAAAAGTTCCAAATCTCACATTTATAAACTCTCCACCATGGCCACTATAAATGGTCAAAATGTTACAACATAGATTTTTCTGAATCCTAGTGGAGAAATACTTAAATTCATCAAAAGACTCACTTTTATGTGACAGAAATCTAATCCAAGTGAACCTCGAGTAGTCATCAACATTCGCAAATCTATAGATTTTTCCCCCTAAGCTGATAATCAAATCCATGTGAAGGACATATAAATATTTAAAGGGTCTAATGTTCTTAATGGAAAGGAAAGAGGATTGAACTTATTTCCCTAGTTAATAGGCATTACAAAGTTGGTCCTTAGTGAGCTTAAGCTTGGGGATACCTCTAACTAAACCTGTTGGGTAACTTTCATAAGGGTGTTCATGCTGGCAGGGCATAAGCTCCTATATCACAACCAAGACTCATTAGTAGCAATTTTTAAGTAAAATGAAGTAGCACATTCAATGTTATTTAAATCAAGCATGAAAATGTGGTTAATCCTTTTTTCCTTCAAAATTGTTTTATTATTCAGGCTAATGATGCATGTATTTGAGAAAACATTTATGATAAAGCCCTTATCATAAAGTTGACTAATATCGAGCAAGTTGTGTTTCAAGCCATCAATAAGTAAAAAATTTTCAATCAAAAGGTTCTTAGAGTTTTTGATTATACCTACACCCACCACTTTCCTGGTGGTATTGTCTCCAATAGAAACCTTGCTTCTAGCCCATGACTTCAACAAAATAAATTGATTGGCATCTCCAGTATGTTGTTATGAGCATCTACTGTCTAGGTACTACATTCTCTTATTAGGTCTTATGTGAGAGCACATCTATAAAATTATCAAATGTCAGATTTAGGAACATAAATAAGTTTGGGTCCCTTCTTATGGAAAAAAGAATGCAATGCATTTGTGTTATGCTATGAATCATACCATTTAGGTCTCCACACCTAATGTGTACTATGGTGAATAGTGCAAGTGTGGGAGATTTGTCCTAGCATGCCACATAAAAAACATCTAATACCAGGAAAAGGGTTTACTAATCTATTCTGGTTATAATGCATCTTCCTAGGTTTTAAATCTTTTAACTTTGGATCTGGATTGAAAACTTATTCAGGTGTGGGTGGAATCATATTTTCCTCAAGTTATTTTAATTCATCTTTAAAAAATGAGTTATCACTTTTTAAAAAAACATTATTAACTTTTAAATAGTGCGCCTTACTCTTAGATTCTTTAATATATATTTTAAAATCATTTTCAAGTTCACTTTGGGATGCTTTCAATAATTCATGCTATTTATTTAATTCATCAAACTCATCCAATAGTTTTATGTGATTGCTATCAAGTGTAGAGTGATCCTTAAGCAAAAC